CCACACCCAGCCCCTCACTGGGGGATTCTAGGCAGGTGACCACTGAGCCACACCCAGCCCCTCACTGGGGGATTCTAGGCAGGGGCTCTACCACTGAGCCACACCCCAGCCCCTCACTGGGGGATTCTAGGCAGGGGCTCCACCACTGAGCCACATCCCAGCCCCTCACTGGGGGATTCTAGGCAGGGGCTACACCACTGAGCCACACCCCAGCCCCTCACTGGAGGATTCTAGGCAGGTGACCACTGAGCCACACCCCAGCCCCTCACCTCTGTGCTACAGCCTAAGCCTTCTTGTTATTTTCGTCTTGAGACAGTCATGCTGAGATGCCCAGGCTGTCCTTGAACTTGCAGCCCTCTTGCCTCAACCTCTTGAGTGCTGTGGAGACTTGAGGCATAGCTCAGCAAGCCACGCCTAACAGTCAGTTGGCGACCTCTCCACTGTTGAGCAGCTGAACCCATGGACCTGTAGGCCTTCAGCATTCCCTGCGCATACAGAGTTGGTGGGGAAGTCCAGAAGGTGTGGCTGAGTCACAGTCTCCCTCAGAGAACTTTGTCCCTCCTCCCGACTCCAGCTACTTCATCTCCTGGCAGAGACCCAAGCCTTTTCCCTCAACACCACATTCTGGGTCCCAAAAACAGGAGGTGGAGCCAGCAGCTCCCCTCAGCTTTGAGAAAAGGGAAACTGAGGCACCAGCCGACTAGGAGCTGGACTGACTGGGCTGGGTTCCTAGTCCCAGCCTCTCCACCTCCCAGTGCCCGGACCCTCTGCCCCGAGTCACCGCTGTTACTCCACAGAAACTCAGCTCCAACCCTGAGGTCCAGGTGCTGGCACAGGAGCCAGATGCTGAGGCAGGGGGATCAAGTTAGCTCACGGTGATCCTTGGCTAAATAGCAAGTTGGAGGCCCATCTGGTCTATGTGAGATCTTGTCTCAAAAGTTAAAATGAAGATAAAGCCAGGCGTGGTGGGGCACACCTTTAATCCCAGCACTTGGGAGCAGAGGCAGCCTGGTGGGTAGAATTCCAGGAGCGCCGGGAGAGAGAGAGGGAGGGAGGGAGAGGAGGACGGAGGGAGGGAGAGGGAGGGAGAGGAGGATGGAGGGAGAGAGAGGGAGGGAGAGGAGGACGCAGGGAGAGGGAGGGATGGGGAGAGCCACTTGTCTGCAGCCCTGACTCATGTGGCCCAGGGCCTGTGTGGCGTGGAACAGTCGTCCGTGCTGGGTGACTACTTTGGGGCCAGCTATCCTTCTGCCGTCTGTGCTCATTCACAGTGTCTGCCGCTGTTCTCCCCAAGTGATGTTTGGTGGTACCTTGCCGGGTTTATTCTTGGGACCCCAGGAAGTAGGGTCAGGGGCTGGAGAGATGGCTCAGTAGTTGAGAGTGCTGGCTGCTCTCCCCAGGACGCGGGTTCAATCCCCAGCACCCACATGGCAGCTCACAACCGTCTAGAAGGCGATCGGGTGGCCTCTGCTGGCGCCAGGCGCGCGTGCAGGCAGAGCGCTGCACACACAGAAAGACGGATAGAATTGTAAACAAGTGGGGCCGAGGCTGCCTACATCCCCAGGGCGGGAATCTGGGCTCGGCCCGGCTGATGCGCAGGGCCGCCGCGTCACCTGCCGGGTAGTGGCCGGCGTGAGGAGGGAGGCCGCGGGCGGAGGGCCCCGGCGCGCGCTGACCCGCTGCCTCCGCAGGGTTCGTCCAGGGCTGCCGCGCCCTCATGATCACCGCCATCCTGCTGGGCTCCCTGGGCCTCCTCCTGGCCATGCCGGGGCTGCGCTGCACCACCGTGGGCGACATCGCGGCGCCCAGGAAGGCCAAGCTGCTGGCGGCCGCGGGCGCCTTCCACGCACTTGCCGGTAACGGGGCTCGGCGTGGGGTGGGGGGGCAGGCCGCAGGCTGTCGCCGGGCGGACGGAGGGTCGCGCTGCGGCACGAACGCACACGCGCCTCCTGCTTCCCGGAGCCAGCGCCGGAGCCGCGCGGGACGCCGGGGCGGGGACAGGCGGCGGCGGCCCGGGGCCTCCCTGGGGCGTGGCTAGAGGGGAACCGGCCCTCGCCGGGCACAGGCTTTGGGGGTGCCGCGGGCACGGAGCCCGCGCGTCCGGTAAGGCCGGGGAAGGCGGCGGCCGGCGCTGGGCCTCACTGCTGGGTAACCCCATCCCCCGCCGACTGTGCAGCGGGCGGAGGGACGTCCACGGGGGAAGGGCAGCCTTCTTAGAAGCTCGCCATCTTTATCACCCGGCCCCTCCCGCCTCAATCCTGGTCCCTCAGCGGCTGAGGGCTGCGGCCACCCCCGGCCCGGGCTTCCCAAGATCTTGTTTTTAAGCCGGCAGCGCTGGCGCCCGCCTGTGATCCCAGCCCTGGGGAGGCAGAGGCAGGAGGGTCTCTGAGTTCCAGGACAGCCGGGGCCACACAGAGAGACCCTGTCTTGAAAAAAAAAGAAAAAAGAAAAGAAGGAAAGAGATGTTGTTTATAAAGAGACGCCCGGGACTCCCGTGGCGAAGGCTGCAGTGTGGACCCTGAGGAGGAAGTGCGTGTTGCTCGAGGCCTGGCCGCGGCCCCGCCAGGGTGGGCGCAGCTGGCTGAGGAGGGCCTCTTCCCCAGGGATCTGCGGGATGGTGGCCATCTCCTGGTACGCCGTCAACATCACCACCGACTTCTTCAACCCCCAGTATGTGGGGACCAAGTAAGTGGGGCGCCCTGGGGCCGGGAGGGGAGCCTTAGGGCAGGTGGGCACCTTAGGGCAGGTGGGCACCTTAGGGCAGGTGGGCACCTTGGGGGCAGGTGGGC